TATTTTTATGTAGGTATGTATGTATGCATTAAAATATATCTGTAAGTTTATATGTAATGTTTCCAACCCCCAAAGACAAATAAAGATCAAATTTATAACGATACTAATAATAAAAGGCAGTAATAATGAAAACTAAATTAAAAAAAAAAAAAGTATTCAATTTACGTCAGAACCCAGTTACGATAGAGTCCTTGGAATGGAACCTCGTTGTAAGTCAGGGACTACCTATGATACATCAGGACCTATATACATTCATCTATACACAGTATATAAATGAATTTAAAGTTTTATGGAACACCATTTACTATGTGTGTGATAACATGCTAATGTTTTCTATTCTACTTCATTTCATTTTCAAAAAATTCTAGCTGCATCCTACTAAACTGATTTCACAACTCTAATGCAATGTTTTTTAAATCGTGGGTAACACCAGCATCTAAAACAATATATGATATACCACAGAACAGAACAGAACACAGACCTAACACTTGTGTGTTGGGTCACAATAAAATGTTTCTTATTATGAGTTGCAGCGAAAGGGTTTAAAAGTACCACATTAAAGAACTGAAACACAGTTTGAAAACACAGGTTTAGAGCACTTAAGAAGTCTAATAGTTGAGTTCTTTATCCCAAAATACATTTCTTCAACTCTTTCTAAAAAATTAAAGCATATAACCAAATCTTTTAAGAGGGAGAGGAAGAGAAAGGAGTTAAAAAGGATTTGTATTCAACAGGGAACAAATCTGTTCAGATGGAGTTAAGTGAGCTTTGCTTAAAAGACAAAAAATGAGGTGGGGTGGGGGTGTGGTGTGAGATTAGCACAAAAATACTGATACAGCTTGGTTGTTTGGGGTAAGGACATAGACTCTGGTGAGAGCATAGTGTTGAGGTACAATGGAAGGGAGGCAATAAATGAGGCAAAGTGTAGAGACACCTATATATAAAAATCTGCCTTGTATTAAATTATTAACCTGTCACTACACAGTCATGTGTTGCTTAATGTCCACAATATGTACTGTGAAATAGGATGTTATATCATTTGGATGTTCTGTGAACATGCCTAAATAGCAAGCAATAGCATTCACTGATTTTCCACCTTCATGTTGCTTAATAACCTTTTGTTTCACTTCCAAATTGATACTTCTCCTTTGCCTCTTGCTGCTGTAATCACTAGCACTGGTTTTGCTGCATTTGGGAGCCATGATATACTTCACAGTAGTATTTTTGAAAGAAAATTAAACAGAGGGATAACACTACAACACTCAAGAGACATGCAATACATGAGACTGGGTGGTGCTGCCTACAAGTTGAAGCATACACTTTTAATAGGGTAAACTTCTCATTTGTAAGTAGGGAAAGTTCACATTAAAATAACAATAAAAGTACAGTACATACATTAAGCCAGTAACACAGGCATTTACTATGACTATCAAGACATATGTATAGGTTATATATGTACTGTACTGTTATAGGAAACCCTGGTGGTGTAGTGGTTAAGAGTTATAGCTGCTAACCAAAAAGTCAGCAGCTGAATTCCACCAGGTGCTCCTTGGAAACTGTATGGGGCAGTTCTACTCTGCTCTATAGGGTCACTGAGTCAGAATCGACTTGATGGCAATGGGTTTGATTTTTGGTTTTTTTGTATCATATGCCTGGCAGCACAATGGCTTTGTATAAAAGGGACATGAGATAAATATGTTGCATGCAGGAAACTGTTGCATTCGCTTCTGGTTACGTCCACTGTGTATTATTCTCTGTTCGAGATTTCTGAATTCCATTATAATCTTATGGGACCACAGACTTATGTGCGGTCAGACGTTGCCTGTATGGACGTTATGAGGTGTGTAACTGTAATTTCAAAAAGTTAAAATACCGATCTATTCTCAAATCATTCATGACTTTGACTTATAAATCTTTCGCGCTGAAATTTACAAAGCAGTAACTTAAAGTCAGAGAATGATACACAATAACCCATTATATAGTTCATCTTTGACGTTGTTTCAGTATTTTGCTTATACTAGATGATCAAAAGTCTGTGTTAGTCTAGAAGCTCACTGAAACCTGTTCAGCATCACAGCAACACCCACGCCTCCACTGAAAGGCAAGTGGTGGCTGCGCTTGAGGCGTATTGGCTGGGAATAAATCCAGGTATCCCACATGGAAGGCGAGAATTCTACCACTGAACCACTTACCAGTAATAGAGTCATAAAGTCTAGTATTTACATCAGCACCTCCTAAGGAAAAACAGTGGAATGAGAGCTTGAAGAAAAATAGCCTGCACTTGGAAGTTTTAAGAAATTTTTTTTTTTCATTTTGTTTGTAACAAAAGAATGATACCTAATATTTTGAGGTAAAAGAATATGTTCTATGGAAAACAACAAATATTAACAAAATAAATAAATAAATAAAGGGACAGCTTTACTGTCATGGAGAAGACCAAAACAGAAGCAAAAGGAAAACATATGCCTACGAGCTCCTGGCAGAACTCCTGATGGCAGGGGGTAGAGTAGTATGGTTGAAATCTGAGAAAGGTTTCCTAAAAGCTTTCGAACACAATTTTAGAAGAAAACCGTGGGAATTCTGATTACTTGCTGTTTCTACGGAGGAAGTAAAAAAGAATACAGACAGACATTAGGGGAAGGTTTAAAAAAATTTAAAAGCTCCAAAATATTCCTTACTACCAGCATTTTATTTGTATTAAAAACATTGTAGACTTTTGATCAGTTACAAACATAACGTTTATCTTGTTTTCCAGGAAGTGCTGATTTTATAAAATTTAAGTCCCTCAGTAAGCACTTACCGACTGTTTGCTCCTCCTTCCGCCACAAATCGTTTCTGAGGATATCTGTCTTTAAGTTGTTTTAAAGTCATCTTTTTTTCAGCTACAACCCACACGTCACCACCTTTTCCACCTTCTCCACCTAATCGAGGATAACCCATTCCACCACTTCCTCCCTTGGTGAAGAGTCTTAGGTTATCGATGAAATTTCCATACTTAAAAAAAAAAGAGAGAACATCTGAAGGCCAACTGTGTTTATCAACTCAGAACTCCTTTCAACTTTTTTTGCCACTAAAACATGCTTTTAAAAAAAAAAAACCAATAATGGTTTCTATATATTTTCTCAACTCACCTGACTTCACTTTTCCATTTACTTACCTCTAAATGCTCCCTTTTTACAGTTATCAATGGTTGTCCTATCTATCCTCAGAGCCTCTCATCTTGGCCCTCTTTTTTAAGCTAGACTTTCTCCCCTGGCTGATCTCATCCTGTACCATGGCTGTAACTATTACATATGTAAGATATTTTCTATATCCAGACTGATGGACATCTCCACCCAGATGTAAACTTTTTAATAGTCTACAGCAACTGAGAACAGGGTCTGTATTTAATTTATATTTGAGCTCTCCCAAATCTGTAACTTGTTCATTGGTATTAGTTGAAAAGATAAGTTACCTCAAATACAACATATTAACATGACAGATTCAAACTTTACTCCAGGCAAAATCTGTTCCCTCAGTGTTCTCTTAAATAACAGAATCATAGTTTATTTATTCATCAAGACTGCACAAATGTGAATCTTTCAGACTATACCCCTTCTTTTCTGAAGCTCTGCTCTTAACTCTCCTTTCCAGTACCACTGTTCTAATACCTTGACCACCACATTAGCTCCTAACTGCTTTCAGTCTCTAGTCAGTCCTTCCTGAAACCATCCATCTTGCTATTTTCCTGAAAACTGATCTGGTATCTAATCTTTTCTCCCCTACTCAAAAACTGTCCATGTTTTTTGTTTGTTTGTTTTTTAGAGTTTATGAAATAAACTCTAAAATTCTTAGTAATATATTCAAAGCCCTTAACCTACTCTTTCAGTTTTCACTCATTCAACTCCCTCCTACCTCCTCCTCTTCTCTATTTTCTGTGCTGATATATTGTCATGCCTCCATGCCACTCTACTCATGCTTTTCCTCTGCCTAGAATACCATTTGTTCTTTTCTATCATAAACCCACCTTGAATGTCATATTCTCTGTGATGTTCTCCTTAATTCCTCTAATCAACATTTACCACTGACTTAGAGAAGCTCTCTCTGCAATTTGATTAAATCTCTATTATTACACGTTATGCTGCAATTAGTTGTTTACTAGTGTTTCCCTCACTAAATTGGGAACTTGTAGCAGGTAAAGATCCTGTATATTCATCTCTCAGGCTATCAGAGTTCCGTAAGAGTAATTTGTTAAATTCATAATCTTCATGTCTTTAGTCATTTAGAACAGTTGTAAGTATCAAAAACATCTGGTAATTTTTTTTTTTTTTTGTCCACAATACATATACCCCTACTGATTATTCTGATATGTTTTGGATGAGGGGATGAGGGTAGGTCAAGCGAGCATATTCAGCAAAAGCTCTCTTGGTGCTTCTGATGCACTCTAGATCTGAGAATGAAGTGGATGGGAGAACAGCAAAACGCAGGTCTTCATTTGAGCGTTCAAATATAGGTCACAACTTGAGAGCTAGCTGTAGTGTTTTTCTCTGGGCACGAAGAACTTGTGATTTGATTCTGAGAGGCTAGGCCAGAAATGTACCATTAATAACTGAAGAGATTCCCCTTGCAAACAAAATTAATTGGAAGTGACTGTTCATGGTGCCAAGGCTACAAAAGTAGCCTTTAATAAAGCATCCACAAACAAGGCAAGAGTTTCCTTGATAGGTGAAGGATTAGTTACGTCATATGCCCAAGTACTTCCCTTCACAAGTCTCTTTTCTTTTGACTTTTTTTGGAGCATAAGAGTTGTCTAAAATACAATTTCACTCCGAAATATTACTAATTATGCCTTTTCCTCTGACAATAAGAAAGCTTCTATTTTTGAAGTTTAGCTCCTTGTTTGACTGCTCTAGACTCATCAGGTTCAGGAAATCCTCACTGTGGTCCTGAAATACTAATGTCCAAAATATAAAGCCGGCAGGTTTTCAAAAAGCATTACCAGTAAATCTATTCTAGAAAACTTTCTTTTTCAAAATATCTGAAGCAGCTTTTTTTTTTTTCTTTTTAACAGAAACGATTCTAAAACTGATACTACCCAACAACTGATCTAAATTTTCTGCAAGGCAAGCTGATTACACATTTTCGTTTACTGTGGAAATGTCTTTAGAAAGATTTCAAAAACGATGCACTCGAGGAAAAAAATATACAGGATGATAAGAACAGGCTGCGGACAGTATTACTTAAAATGAGGCAAAAAAAAATAAAAATAAGAACACTACACTATTTGGGCCAAAACGTAAAGTCAACCCTATACTCCATACCATAATGCGCGTCTAAATGGCAAGCTGGTACCCCAACTCCTCATCCCACTTGCACACAATTCCCCCAAAGAACTCAAATCCTTCGCCCAAGAACCTTTCCCACCCCTTACTGGTAAACCCAGACTTCTGGAGTGACGGAGGAGGGGGCTACCATAGAACCAAGCAGGAAAGAGACGGCCAGAATGAAAAGAAAATAGGCTGAACCTGAGTCTTCATGTGGGGCTGGGGGGCAACAGGCACAGACCTTTCGGAACAACACGCAACTACAGCGGACCATCACGGCACGGAGCCGCACTTGCCTCCCGCAGCAGTGATAGGAACTGAATAATGGCGAGGCTCTTTGTACGTCACAGCCAGCCGCCCACTTGATCTTTCTCCGCACGCGCCGACAGGGCCAGGCGCATGCGCTTTACGGATTGCGGCCGACGGAGGCGGAGAAAGCTCTGAGGAAAATCCGAAAGGCTGCGCAGACAAGAGAGAGTCGGTTGCAGGTGTATGCGTCGGGAATTGACGTTGAATTGAGTGACAGCAGAGATTAAGATACTTTAGAGAAATTTTTCTGCTGATTGAGGAAACCTTAAGATGTCTGAGTCTTGGTGAAGCAGAGTGAAAACTCTTCAAACAGACAATAAAGCCAAACGCTTAAATGACACGGAAACTCATCTGGAAAAGAAGAGCCCGAAGAAGCTGTTGGTTCATTAATGAACTCAGTGATTGCCAGCAAAAGCTGCCAGGAGGCAACGAATTAAAACTTGTGGCACGAAAGTATTACTGAAAATGTCAGGATCTGAGAACTGTAAGAAGAGTCTCATTGTGTGCGGTGGGGAAGGAAGCTCTTTGTTAGACAGTAGCTGCTGCTTTTTTACTTTTTTATTTTTTAACCAGTTTTTTTAGTAAGAAATGGGCAAAGCCAGCTTTCTTTTCAGAATCAGAATGCAGAACAAATGGAAAAATAATGGTATTTAACCTTCACAAGTTTGAGCCTCCCGAAGTAATGCAACCAAGGTTTACATTTTTAATAGCCCTTCTACATACACTCCGTCTTCTGTATCTTGGTTCCAAGTTTTGTCTTCAGTCCCAGTTATGCCAAGTCCATTGTTAATTGAAAAGAAAAAGTCTTCCCAGTTATTGTCAGAAACTATTGTTTAGCTTCCAAACTACTCACCAAACTACAGAGAGGATGGAGCGTAATATGAGCAGTACAGACTTTTGTGCAATTCATGAGAACCACTTAGTATGTACATGAACCTGATTGCTAACATTTCTATTATATTGGACAATGACTCCCGACTGTTACTCTCTGTGAGAAATGGGGTTGGGGGGGAAGGGGGAACTGTTAGTAAAAGACACTAGGTACAAAGCAACATTTTACTTTTGTTATGATAAAAAAAAGTCACATTTTACAGATAAAATGTAGAACCCTGAAATACTGACACATTCTCTTATCGTGCACAATGCTGAGGTTCTCTTACGATTCACTTTAAAACGACAACTAAAAATGTACAAAAAAGAAAAGAAAAAAAAATCGACCCCACAAAGCTTCTAAAAAAGGAACCCACAGGCACCAACTCTTGTGTGTAATGCTTCAAAAGTTGGCCTACTGTTGTGAATTGAATTCTGTCTTCCAAAAATATGTGTCAACTTGGCTAGGCTATGATTCCCAGTGTTGTGTGATTGTCCACCATTTTGTCACCTGATGTAATTTTCCTACGTATTGTGGATCCTACCTCTATGATGTTAATGAATCAGGATTAGAGGCAGTTATGTTAATGAGGGGAGCCCTGGTGCCATAGTGGTTAAAAGCTCAGCTGCTAACCAAAAGGTCGGCAGTTCAAATCCAGCAGCCCTTCCTTGGAAACCCTATGGGGCAGTTCTACTCTGTTCTGTAGGGTCGCTATGAGTTGGAACTGACTCGATGGCACCTAACAACAACAACATGTTAATGAGGAAGGACTCTATCTACAAGATTAGGTTGTGTTTAAAGCCAATCTCTTTTGAGATATAAAAGACATGAGCAAGCAGAGAGACAGGGAGACCTCACACCATCAAGAAAGAAGCACAGGGAGCGTAGCTCCTCCTTTGGACCAAGGATCCCTGCACTGAGAAGCTCCTCTGCCCAGGGGAAGATTGATGACGAGGACCTTCCTCCAGAGCCGAATTTGGACTTCTAGCCTCCTAGACTGTGAGAGAATAAATTTCTGTTTGTTAAAGCCATCCCATTGTGGTATTTCTGTTATAGCAGCACTAG